TGGACGCCTCTTCGGGAGACCTCGGCCATCCATTGAATCTCCATGAGTGCTGGGACGCTTCTTGTTTGTCAAGGTACAGTACTATCTTGGAAGCATTAAGCTGTACCAGATCGTTGCGTCCCCAAGTAGTGATAACATCCATTTCTCTCATCAGGGAGGAATTTGCTGATAGTCTTTTTTTCTCCAGTTCACCGGCAGAGATCGGCGTGGCACTTCCTGCATTTAGAGTGCTCGGGTTATCAGAAAAGTTGTGGATCGAATTGATCGTACGGAAAAGGAGGTCGTTGATATATGGAAGAGAACAAATGCTGGAGCAAGACGGGTCATTGGGGAACACAAGCGTTGACATTGTAGGATGAAGAGGAGAACTCATCAATTACGTTAAATATCTTGCGACAGAGAAGAAATTAGCCATCTGCGAAGCTTATCTGGGAGGTCATAGGATGGAAGTTTGCATGAAAAGGCAGCACGCCATATCTGATCGATAGCTTCCATGTCAGTGCACCGACATGAGCCTAACAATATGCCTGGACTTAATTGAAGAGCAGATACTTTTTTCAAATTATAAACTAGATTTAAGGTCACCGATATTCGGAAGTAAGCAATGTCTGCTTAAGTCTAACCAACGATGTATGACGTCGCAGATATCGAAATAAGGGAAGTAGATAGCGTAGGAGTGTATTATTTAACAACCGAGGTGCTAAAGATCGCGTAATGCCACCGAGTATTTTTTAATTATTACAAAACCCAGACTTGACTAGTGTAGCATCAGCCATAATTGCTTCCTTTAGTGTGAGTCTAGGATACTGTATGATGGGGTTATTTAATCCATTTCATATTTAGAATGTCTTACACATAACCGCTTAGTTTCTTTTCGGTCGTTTTTGCCTTGAGAGTGATATGTTTCCGAACTGCTCCAGAAATAATGCATGGCAATACAACGTTCACTGGAATGCTGCTGGTGCTGAGTACTACTGGGTGACTCCGAATTACTCCGCGTAACTCAACTGGGCCACTGGAGAGCAGCTGTTATTGAGATTACGCTACGGTTCCTGTGCATGCGACATCTTTTTCTGACGAGTTCTGACGAATTTCTTCGAATAAGTAAACACCTCTTTTCACTCTGACAGTGACCAGCACATCAAAATATGCACGCCGTCATCAGAACTGTTTGAGCGTTAAAATAGATTTGACTTCTTCGTACGACCTGTGTCTACTTTTGAGTACTTGTTGGCTGTTGCACCATGGACAACGATAAATTAGTAACTCTTGCGTAAACGAGAAAACGTCAAAGTGGGATATGAGAGATCATAATTATCATAATATCAACACAACCATTAAGTATCTTATTTGTGATGTAGGTGAATTATTTATTAATTACATTCACATACATTCATTCTGAAGGACACGAAAAGCTTTTGCGATTGATCCAGCAATTCTTCAAATAATATTTGAAACTCTCCTTTGTCATCCCTACTGAAAAATAAAGAATTGAAATGCACTGTTTTCTGCCATTTAACAACAGTAACTTCAGTTGGTAAAGGACTTTTAAGGAAATAAGATTCGTCAACTTCGTCCAGATTTGCTAGGTGTCAGAATCGTGCTGACCACTAAAATTTCAGAAAACGCGCACAGTGTAACCAGCCTGTTCTAACGAGTATCACTAACGTACTAATTGGTTCAAGTGCTACGATATTTATTCAATCTAGCAATGTAACGCTCTTCAGAATATTTTGGAGTTTGGAGCTTTACTGCAGAAAAAAACGAGTTTGAAATGATAAAACTAATGTAGGTACCGCAAAGTAAAGTCAAAGAATGAACAGCGCCTAATGCTTGTTTGACAGAAATTTTCGATACGGCTCTGTCGCATGTTGCTTATTTTCGCGTTCGCTGTTTGATAAAAAAAACTGTTACCACAATTTTCAACATTCTGGGCTCTCTAGGTCACCTACTGTGCCGACCTCAATGTTCCTACAAACGGCTTTTGTATGAGATAAGCAAACCGTACCGGCGGGGGATTCAAACGTCTTTAAAAAATATCTAAATGCAAATGATACTTCTTAGGCTTTTCGGCCGGCAACGGTGATTGTTAATTCTTGATCTTTCCCATCACTTGTAAATGGTATCTGTAAGATGGATTTCACAATTTAACAAACCATTATTCTGTACCAAACAGTCCGTTAAATATACCCAATCAGCCTCAAGATCTCTCCGTCAAATTTTTGGCAGCAAATAGCATCAAAATATTCAAAACAAAACACTGTAAAATATGAAGTGAAAGCTTACCATTGAAATGTTTTCAGTGTATTAAATATTATGGAACTATATAAAACTGAGCCAAAATTTGAAACAAATGCTTGACGTCTGAGTTAAATCTATTTTTTTCAGTTTAGCTGAAGGTCTCTCTATGTTTATTGCAACTTTTGTAATCCATATATGATTATATTAACATCACCTACCGTGTGTTTATAGTTTATCCTACATTTGCAAACTTGCACTTCCAAACCCTTACATGAAAAAGCCTTTTCACTCAAATTTTTGTTAGGTGTTGCGTTTCAACACACTCATACACTTCTATCCAGTTCCTCAACAACATTTTAACACCACTGGTCCTAAACTGTTTTTTTTAACATTCGTATATACAATTGCAGTTGCAGTCTTTTGTTTTGATTTCAGTGTATAAACAGTGGCACCATCGGTGATGGTACATGGTACACTCAACATAATCACGTATTTGGGGGTTATTGCAGACTTGACGTGTAGACGACAGTGTAATATGTAATTCTGCACAAAAAAAACTTGAACGGAGCACTTTTTATACGGAAATTTGTTATTTCCTAAATTCCATTTTCCACTAATACCTAGTGGCGTTCAAAAAGTAACTATACGGTACTCGAGTACTCGTTACACATAGATATCCGCAGGAACGAGTACCAATCCGAACACGAAATGATTACTTTGATTACTCTGTTTTCCGTATCCGTACCCGGTACCCGTACTATTGTTGATCGTTGAGTGACAACGCTGGTTTGGCTGTAGCACTGCCGCTCATGCATCAGGGTTGCCAAACATCCCACATTCGGCTGGAACCTGGAAACTCAATTTTTATTTTTTTTTATTGACGGACTGAAGTTTACCTGTTTACACCGTAACTCAAATTCGCTTTTATTTTTGTGATCTTGGGAACCTAAAAAGAAATGAGTCGATTGGATTGGAGCAAAGTTCGGCAGTATTATGAGGCAGAAAAGTGACAACAAGGTAACACCAGCGTTCAGGCAAACCACAATAATAAAAATTATGTCAATTTGGCTCGTGTTTACTTGTACTGTTTTGTTAAAAAAAATCTCTCAGGTGGCGAAATATGACAACTCAGAGGTGTCAAAATTCGCATCAATTCCGTCCTGTGATCGATAATCAATCTCCTGCGTAGTCTATTCTCCAACGTCACTTGTTCTGTGTATTTGGCGTCGAGGTACTGCTGGAAAATGGTACTTTGGAAAAACTAATTTCCATATAAAAAGTCCCCATCCAAGGTGTTTTACTGCAGAACTACATAATACACTGTCGTGTACACGTTAAGCCTGCAATCCTTAAATACGTGGTTATGACCATCACCAAACTACGATTTCCAGTAACTACTATTTTCACAACATGCTAGATTTTTCAACCAATTTCCATATAAATATTTTTCTTTTAATATTGAGGAATTGGCATTTGAAATTAGTGTCTCATAATGTTAATGCTGGGACAATGCATTTGTTATTAGTGGAATGCATTGGAACGGTTCAAAAATATGAATGAATTGTTTTCATTTAATCTCGACTGAAAGAATGGAATATCCACTCTTTCAATGTTTCTATATTTCTTGTGGTACTGCTGCATAGAGTACTTTGTTCGCGAACTAGTTCCTAGATCTAGAATCGGGAGCCTGAGATTCGCTTTGCCTCTGTGGCAAGATATATAGTATTTTCTTCTGATAAAACTAGCGCAGTTCTGGTGTTTAAAATGCTTTACCTAGGCTAATCCCGTTGATCCTAAATTTGATCACAAAATAACATTCAACAACTCCCATGTCTCGTGCAGTAATCTGTCAATGGAACAGACTTTTCGTTTCTTTGTCCCTTTCTGTGTTATTATGGTGAATTATCGAAAAAAAAAGAATTATAAATCACGAGCCATCAGCATTTAAAGATAGAATTCAAAGCACGAAACAGTAGAAAACACCAGGTCATGAATACCTAAATCTGACTTCCAAAAATGTTCCATGCGTTTCAGATGGAATTCTTATTTAACCTTTCCTTCTGGTGCCTGAGAAAAATCACTTTCCCCACTTGCAGTGCGGTGAGTGTTCAGTTATTTTCGTCCACCGTCAGTTTGCATAAAATGTCCCCTCACTGTCCCATGAGTTTAACATCCAAAAAAGCACGATAGCTCAAATTGTTAATAACACATATATCACCAAATTTCTATAAACATATATGAAACTTTAGCAATCTCAGATTTATATGTTGAGCTGGATACGTTGCGGGGTAGGGGAAAGGTCCCTATATTGGACCACCTAACAATAATCGCGTGTAAAATCGAAATACGTCACTTAATTCACTTAATAAAAATTGATGTAATTCTTGGGACTATTATCAAACTTTTACTTCTGTAGAAATAATTCTAGGTTTATTAGTCTTATAAAAAATTAAAAAAAGAAAATGACGTCATTTGGTCCAATTTAAGATACCGGTCTCCTAATTTGAACCACCGGTACCCTAAATTGAACCGTGAATCATTTTCTATTATTTGAAAAGAGAACATTTATTAAAATCATCCAAAGCTCGTACAAAAAATATAAACAGTTTTTTAAACACCAGTCACAAAAATCAAACGTTATTCTGAACACTGAAAACAACTATGTAGGAAAAGTGAGTTGTTTTAATGACAAGTTGATAATACTAAAAGAACTGAAACATTTTAATTTTAATGAAACTTCCTAAAACAGGAACATATAATTAGTCGCTATCTGATGATGATTCACAGTTGATACATTCATAGAAATTAACATTTTTTCCACTGATACATTTAAGATGCGACCATTTTTTACAAATCCTACATTGAATCCATTCTTCGCCTGGATTCGATTTAGAATATGGAAATAAACAAACAAGGCATAGACAATCTTCGTCCTCCGATTCAGATTCGCTTGACGTTCCATGTTGTAGACTTCGTCTCTTTGTAATAGGTCTCTTGTTATCGAGTTTGGACGACTTTCCTTTACTGGTAGCTTTTGCAGAAGAAAATACATTTCTGGTGGCTGAAGAAGCATCAATTTTTTTGAGTTGTTTTTTTTCAAGATCGTTCTTGTATGGACTATCTGTAATAATTGTAGTAGAAGGCAAGGCCAGGTTACGCGATTTTCTTTTCAAAATGGGCACAGGTGATACTTCGGAAACAGATTTCCTTTTGGGCAGCTCACTACTTGATTTACCTTTTGTGTTTAGCAAACAGGATGTTGAAGTGGATGCAAGTGGATTGGAATAATCAATGTTAGTCAACTGTGAAGCGCTCTGAATCACTTCTTCGGTTATCTCCGAGTTTACTTGATTTTTAAACGAAGTGGTACTACTAGTACTGGTAGATAGACAAACGTATTCGCTATCATCAAACAAATTTGGGTCCAACGGCCATATTCCACATTTGGCAAATCCACTTAGAGCATTCCCAACAGATGCTGCTTTAGCATATGCTTCCCCAAGAAGCGCCGATACCTGAAACTGGGTTATATTTTGGCTTGGATTTGTACGAAGCCATTTATCAGCTGCTTGATTGTAATACGAGTTTAGGGGCTTGAAAAAAGAGACGTCACAGGGGCAGTCGATGTGTTGTGTGAGATGGTAGGGACAGCATTACAATTCCATGCTTTCTGGCAAGTAAAATGGCCTCTAGGTTTTTTGTGTGAGTGGTGTGCCCATCCAGTATTAAGAGAACTTTCCTATCAGTAGATGGTTTCGCAAAACTAATAAAATGTTGCAACCATTTAACAAACAGCTCACTAGTTATCCAACCTGACTCTGAACATGCAAATTCTGTTCCTGGAGGGGCGCCTGCCTTCAGTTCATCTTTAAATCTAATGCGCTTGAAAATAAGCATTGGCGGTACGTAATTGCCAGCAGCGTTCAAACAACAGACACATGTCGTATTTACACCTCGCTCTCCGCTCGTAAGTGCTCCTATTTGATGTTTTCCTTTCTGTGCAATAATTTTTTGAGGCCTCTGAACCGTAGAGAGGCCAGTCTCGTCTACATTATAAATGCAAGATGGACTGAAATTGTACTCATTATAGAGAGAAGTAAGGCAATCAAAAAAAGCCTTGACTTTTTCTTTGTTGAAACCTGTAGCCCGCGCTGCTGAAGTAGGCTCTGGTTGTCGAAGAGATAGCTCTTTATGCCTGGACATAAAGCAGTAATACCATTTCTTGCCGGCTTTACCGTTTTTAAATCTATGTAAAATCCCATTAGCTTCGGCGACATCATAGGCAAGTTTTCGCAAATCATTGCGAGTGATTCCAAACAAGCTTCTTTCTAGCTCCAATACATGGTTAACTATTTCATTTTCAATTTCTAGGGGAAGATCCGTAGAACGTCCGAATTTTTTTTCGCATCCATGCACATTTTTGTTTGTATCGTCAATTCTACGTTTCAGAGTAGCTTTAGGAACTTTATAACTCCTAGCGATTTCATTTAAACCGGCAACATTATTTTCATAGGCATTAAGGGCTTCTTGCATGCTCGTCTCGCTCCACTTTCCATACTTTCCCCGTTGAGACATAGTATTCAACTGAAAAAAAAAGGTTGCTTAAATTGGACCGGTTCAAATTAAGAAACTTCATGTGGTCCAATTTAGGAAATCATAACCTCATTTCAATTTTTGGCTCTAAAAAAGTTGTTTTCACTTAAAATCAAATTAACTGCTTAATGACTGTTCAGGAAAATGATGGCTAAATATATATAAACTGACGGATATACAAAACAACTTACCAGTTAAAAACTACAGCTTAAGAAATTCACTTGAAAAATTACATCAGCCGGCATAAAACTTAACAACATGTGATACCTTCGATATTACTAGCAACACAGGTTTCTTTTTCCACATACAGACTGGACTACGCGTAAGCTATGATTGATAGGCCATAGATGGCGCCTCGAATTACCGTTTGTGAATTACAGATGTGGTCCAATTTAAGAGACGGTCCAACTTAGGGACCTTTCCCCTATTATTGCTCAATCTGGCAACCATGGCTCACCCTCAGGAATGACCGCTGACATGACATAAGACAGGCGAGTTGCCCTTGAGTAGCGTGGACTATGGAATTAAACTTCTTCAGTATTTGTGTTTTTGTGTCATTGTGTCCCCACGAGCTCTTATTTTTCAGCAGTTACTAATAATTTTAGATCTAAGTCTATAGTAATTCCATTATGCACCACGGAGATGTAGGGATTGATACGTTTTACAGATACAGGTGTTTTAGGATGGAGAGTACATACTGTTTTGGTTGCTTTGAAGAAATTCATTAACCCATAAATGGATAATAAATGATTATTACTATGATGTAACGAAATATGAGGAATTTGTCGGAATACATTTTATATTCTTTTTCATGCAAAATACAACAGCTAGAAAATGGACATATTATTTCTTGCATTTCCATTGGCTAAAGGGATAACCGATGTATTATACGTATATGTACATTTATAAGAAAAATCAAAATACATTAAAGTTGTCCTGTTTTCTCTGTACATGCTGGAATCAGAAAGAGCTCCTGTTTATTAGACAATCGCTTTTTCACGATTTTATTCAATAATTCAATAGAAATCACTGACATTTAGAAAGCTTTGACAGCTTCCGTCAAACTGTATTTCGATAAGGTCTTTTCCCATTGGTCCAAGTGACTGTTAAATACTAATTCTGGTGAAACTGGGCATTTGAAGCGAATCCAAATTAGTGCCGAAAAGTTAGAGTTAACGATCACCGACGCTAGCAGAACATCCCAAGAAGAATGAACTGCTTGGACAATACTGCTAAGGTCTCACACGATCGAAATACACTCGTCAAACATCAAAACTATTTTGGAGACGTTCACCGTAAACATCAAAGCGAAAACTTCATTATTGCTATGGTAGTTGTTATTTAAGGCTTCTTCATATCCTATTTATAAACAAATAGCACGGCTTACCTAAACAGTTGATTCTGAGTTGCATACTAGCTTACGTCATATATTTTTAACTAATATTTTGCTGCCATATGGCACATTCTTTTGGAACCTGATAACATGTTATGTTAGTAACGTGTTGTACATGTTTTTAGGAAAATTTGCTAATACCAGAGCTATACTCTGTGTAAAGGACAGTCCCAACATTAAGAATATCCTGTAGACTGGAGTTTTAAAAATAAAAATACGCTAGCTTTCATTCCTAAACTTGATCTTTACCGCCAGTACCATCGATCTAGGCCCCAAACGGGCTTGCAGTCAATCGCTTACCCTATCTCGGATGCAGATGTCTTAAGCGGCCGCCATGTCGCGTCCATTACTGCTTACAATCGTGTTAACAGCGTGCGGAATGCCGCATTACCGACCTTCTAAATGATTTACAATACCATGCAAATGCTACCGCTGTTCTCTACAATTGTATTCCGTATTCGTGCGGTGGCCGGTACAAGCTAAAACCAAGCCGAACGATTATTGTAAACTGCCGCAAGCACCGCAAACTGGATGAAACGGTATTACTATGCGCAAAAAGGAATTTATTTATATTATGCCAGATGAAATTTACTAGATAGGAACAGTGAACAACCAAATACTCCCCGATATACAGGGTGAGGTTTTATTGTGTTCTCGGTCGATGGTGCCTCGGTTATTGCGCATGACATCTAAAAAGTTACATTCAGAAATTGTAGCCAACAGCGTTTTTAAATTTTAATCCTTACATTTTGATATAATATGTATAAATTGTTAAGGTATTGGACAATATATCGAAACATTCAACTTTAACAGCTCGCAGCCTCGCAACTGATGTGAAAGGAGGCTCAAAGGGTGTGAAAGTATACAGGGTATTCAATTTGCAAATTTAGGGGAATAGTTCATTGTGCGCTTTTGTCTGCCATGTCTAGAGGGAGCCTATCCAATTATGCTATAGGATGTAGGTATTCCATTTTAATAAATGTAGGTTGGTCATGAATCGCACCGTAGAAATAAAAACATTTTCCAAGTAAAGAGCTTACTTATGCCAAGATTTTCTGTTATTAGCTTTTTCAGATACGGAGTTATCGATCGAACCCACACTAAAGACTAATCTAATCCTGTATACGAGCTCATTCCCGAAGTCGAAACCTAATAATACTACACATGATACAGTTGGTCTCAACCACTGGTTAACATAATTCTACCTGAACACTGTATTTCAAAAGAGATCTGATAGATACTAGTGAATACAAAAATAAATTTTGAGAACTACTTTGCTTCTACTACTGTCTTATAGATCGCGCTAAAATCTTCAATTCATTTTAATCTCTCTCTGATGTCTTTTTTGATTGTGTATATGTATTGGTATCGTCAATGTGAAATTTATTTTGGAAAAATCAACTTTTCTGTACCTAGGTATTTTAGGTGCCATTTTCTTAGTTACCTTGCTCCCATTTAACCGTCTTTGTATATCTTACCGTTTACGAGGTCCCACTAGTGAGGGTCGAATTGTAATCACTCGGTATAATGAAATCTTTTAAATTATGTCATAAATGATTGTTTTCGATCCCAGTTAGTCTCTTTGAGGTACCTGCACACATGTATGACAAAAAAATTAAAGCTTTTTCGTAACGGGCGTCGTAGTAACCTCGTGTGAAAACTTCATCCAAATCCAAGCAGCACTTCCCAAGTTATGTGCGGTCCAAAGATTAGCGGGCAGACTTACGGAAATGAGTGACATGTTTTTTTGTGATGTACATGTCATATAACATAGAAAAACAATATCTCATTTTCGAAACGTTTCGCGATTCAGTACTTCCTCGCCAGTAGAAGTAAAGACGTCAGCTAACTTGGATTATACCTATAAAACTGAATAAATCCACTATACCCATATAGAAACGAGCCACCATTTGAATTTAATGGGAAAAAACGTCCCTAGGCGGCTAGAAGGAGGTATCCGTCTCCTTAAACTTGCTACTGATTCCTTTTAGTTGCTACGCCACTGGCAAAGAAGTATTGTAATCACGAAAATTGTAGAAGATAAGATAATACCTTTTTTCGGTGTTATATGACATCTACATCTGTCTGTCTGTCGGTCAGTCCTCATCTCAGTTTTTGGCGATACTATATTTATGCGCTTTCTACTCATCTATTAGACCTATTTCACACATCACAGATTTTCCCATACATTATGAACTTAAAGAAGGATAGGGAAATATCCTCAACACGAGTCTCCCTCTGGGTTTACCGACATCACAGTCTCCCCCACGAGTGCCGTTCTGTCACTGCCACACTGCTGGGCTGCCGTGTGCCCGTTAGGGTATTAAATATATTTATATGGACTGAAGACCTGTTTGACTGACTAATTGAGAACATTTTTTCCAATAATATAAAACACTGGTAGAACAAACACATGACCTAAATGTGCGTTACATCCTTGTTATGAACGAGCACTATCAATTATAATCCGTAGGGATGTCGGTGACGTAACTAGAGGACGCCATATGCACACTTAACAAATCCCACCCCCACCCCTTCTAACGCCCGCACACATTCAGGAAATATGGGCGCACCTCGAACGTTAAGCCGGTTTTACACCCGTTCCCCGCTAACCGCCTCGTCGTGGTTTATTGCTCCCTGCATATGCAGCAAGATTCCTATGGTTTTATGTGGATTTATTATTTATGTATCGAAGAAAGAGACTAACATATATATATAACAGTGATTATCGCGTGATTATTGCGTGATCAGCACACTGATATATTTCAAGAGAATTGTTATTGGGCAGAATAGGTCGAGTTCTTACACAAAACCAATGACAAACCAGGAGTGGGAGACGATACGACCATGCATGCAGGCTGTCCCGGTCGCTGGCCGTACAGTACAGAGTTGGCAGCAGATTTATACTAATATTACTGTGTGCTTATTAGATTTGTCAGTCTAATTTCGTAGAACTCAAAATGTCTGATATGGATACAGTTGGTGAAGTGGTTGATATAAACTGCACACCGCCTAAAAGAAGAACTAAAAGGCTTTATTTTAGCGTTAGCAAAAAACAAATAATTATAAACATTTATAAATACGAAGGACATTGTTTGCAAAGCTGACACCTACATATTTTTCAATACTTGTAAGATGAGGAATTTCAACTCAAATTATATTTTATTTTTGTTTTCGTTCATGCTTAAACTATACCGAGATAAGAAATCAAGCAATCATTTTGTTGGGTTTTTAATGCTTTCAATAGGAGCGGTTTTAAAGTGTCCAAAATGAATTATTTTTAGGAAAAGATAAGCGATTGATAATTTGCCACATCGTTAACGAAGGTGGATTTGTGTCCGATGCTTTATGGGCATTTGAATCCAAAACAAAAAACGGGAGACTACCATGAACAAATGGATGGAGCGTCGTTCGAAAATTGGTTCTCAAATACTCTACCGAAGCTTGAAGATAATTCGGTTATAGTACTAGATAATGCTTCATTCTACAATTAGAGGAAATTCCAAGAGCGTCAACAAAAAAATCATAAATTCAAGGATCGCTTAAAAATAAAAAGATTGATTATGATCATACAACGGTTAAGTCAGAATTGTTACAAATTGTCAAGACGCATAAAAATAAATATAACCTGAACATAATTGATGAAATGGCCAACAAACAAAATAAAACTGTTTTACGACTGCCTCCTT